CACACGTGTTATTATTTACGTTTCACTGCTGTTAGAAGGAGAGAATTCTATGTGGCTCCGAAGAGGAAGAAGGACAGAAGAAGCTTGTGCCTCCATACCCCGCCGGGCTGTGTTTTGCCCTTGCCGGTCCTGCTGCGTATCCCTTCACTAGAATCAGTCTGAGCCGTGAGTACAGGAATACAAATTTGGACTCCTGGTAAAGCACCAAGCATGCAGGTGGTCAGGGGCTCTGGAACAACTTTCTAAGGTACGTAATGTGACTCTCATCCCACACACTGAAAACTCCAAGGGAATGGAAGGACTTAGCTATGGTCACTCAGCTAGAATCTGAATCCAGTGTGTCTCCTTCCAAAGCCAGTGCTCATTCCACAGTGCAGACATCACCACCCAATGACCCACATCAAAAGTATAGCGTCTGGTAGCCACCAAGTACCTATGTGAGTGTGAGAAAAGATTTCTTCTCTGTAAAACTGTGCTAGACACCTATGTTATAGAACTGCACTGAAGATTAACTGAGATTATATACATAATATATAAATTATGGGAGTCCTGGTTGGTACTATAGGATAAGCACTCAACTGCTAACCTCAAGGCTGGAGGTTCAAATCCATCAGCCACTCCTCGGAAACCCTATACAGGGTCGCTATGAATTGGAACCAGCTCGAAGGCACTGAGCAACTAGAAGAATATAAATCATATAGATGAAGTTTATGTATGTGTTTAATACATAATATGTTTAAAACCTATAAAAATGTTTAGCCCAGTGGCTGGTGCACTGTAATTCTCAATAAATGAAAGAACTGGATAAATATGTACATATGTGATTGATTTATGGGGTGGGGAGGCCTGCAAAAAGTTTGTGGAAAAATCCCACGGTCTTTTCATCCCACTTTCCCATGACTTTTGAAGCCCCCTTGTACATACATACATACATACACACTTGGGTACATGCACACACATATATACAGATAAATATGTATGCAAGTTAATTACTCATCAAACAAATTCTGTCTTAATTATAATGCATCCATCACCATTCAGAAATGAAGCTAGTTAGGATTTGATAAGATGGCCTGATTTTTACACCTCCTATTTTCAATCTAGGGAATCACTTTCATCCAGAAACCTGCTGCTTAAAGCCTAAAAGATGACTTTTAAAATGTTTTACCTATGAAATTGAGTATTAGCGGACCATTCAGAGTTTTGCTAAGGATACGGAAAAGCATTTATCATGAACTCTAACATACACAGATAGCTTGGCCTAAAGTTACTCAGAGTTAGAACACTCACTTAGAAATGACTTTCTGGTGGGAAAACAAGCTTGCTTGCCATCCACGGATTCTATAAATAGAATATTTAATCTTCCAAAAACCACGGAAAGCAACTTCTGTGGTTCAGATTTGCTAATGTCTTTATTGTTCCCTTTATATATTTCATGTATATGTATATGTTGTTGTTTAGTGTCACTGAGTCAGTTTTGACTCATAGTGACCCTGTGTAGGGTTCCCAAGGAGCAGCTAGCAGGTTTGAACTGCCGACCTTGTTGTTCACAGTCCAGTGCTGATCCTACAGCGCCACACTAGAAGTCCATAGCATTACAGAATTACACTACAACTACAGTGTAAGGAGCTCTGGTAGCGTAGTGGTTACGAATCGGGCTGGGAACCTTAAGGTCAGCGGTTCGAAACTACCAGCCGCTCTGCGGGAGAAAGATGAGGCTTTCTACTCCCGTAAAGATTTACACCCTCGGAAACCCTGTATAGGGTCGCTATGGGTAGGACCCGACTCGATGGCACTTAACAACAACAACAACAGTGTAAGTACTCACTCCATGGAAGACATTTAGAAGCCATTCCTTTCATCATTTATCTTCTCTGACATCGAAGATTGTCAGGATGAGTCAGTGTGCTGTAGGAAGGCTGTTTTCTCTCCTAGAACTTGGGATCACCTGACTTACTATGGAGCAAATATAACAGATCTAACGGAAGCCCAAGTACACACTTTTCACTGTAAAAAACCTCAAATACTCGGTTGTTGATAAGTGTCGTTGAGTTGGTTCTGACCCACAGCAACCTTGTATAGTGTTTCTAAGGCTGTAAATCTTTCTGGGAGCAGAAAGCCTCATCTTTCTCCTGTGAAGTGGCTGGTGGGCTTGAACTGCCAATCTGTGGTTCTCAGTCCGGGGCTTATCCTACAGAGCCATTGTGCTCCCTTGGTCACTCAAATCACCCAATTTCACTTTATTATTAACAAGATACATTTGAACATTACCATTTGAGTATCTCAGATAAATTACTTAACCTACTGGTACCTTTGCTTCCTGTTCTGTAAAATGGAGATAAGAAAAATCTTCTCTTCACAGTGTTTACGGAATCCTGGCGTAGCACTGTAGGATAAGCAGTAGACTGCTAAATGCAAGGTCAGCGGGTGGTTCGAACCCACCAGGCACTCCATGGGAAAAAGATGTAACTTTCTCTTCCTGAAAAGCTTTACAGCCTCAGTAACCCTATACAGGGTCGCTATGAGTCGGAACCAACTCAACAGCACTTAACAACAACAGAGTGATTGAGATTTTTCACAGAGAATAATGTGTATTTGGGGTTAGTTAGTTCTGTTCCATTTGCTCCATAGTAAGTCAGGTGATTCCAAGTTCTAAGAGAAACACAGCCTTCCTAAAGGAGCACACTGACTCATCCTGATGATCTCTGAATTGCTTTGAATTGATTTCCAAGGAGTAATTACACTCTAGTTACAATATGACTGGATTGTTAGCTGCCAGGGCAATGGTTCAAACCCACCAGCCATGCCTCAGAAACCCTATGCAGGGTGGGTTTACAGTCCAGTGCTTATCCTACAGCACTAACACCAGGAATCCTGCAAGGGTCTAGCCTAGTTAAATGGAATCCTGGTGGCATGCTGGTTAAGAATTAGATAGTAATAACTGAACAGGAGGCAGTTCAAACCCACCAGCCACTCTGTGGGGAAAGGGTGTAGCAGTGTGCTTGTGTACAGATGTGCAGCCTTGGAAACCCTACAGGGCAGTCCTACTTTGTCCTGTGGGATCGTTCTGAATCCGCATTGACTGAATAGCAACAATAAATCAGGTTTCAAAAAATGTTAAATGCTGGACATGACTCTAAATTTATGAATCACCAAAGGGTTTCATCTAGAAAACACTGCTATAAATAATTTCTAAAGTTTCTTTCACCTCTGTAATTCCATCATTATCTTCTGAACTGTAGTATAGGAATCCAAAGGCCTGGATGAGAGGGAAGCTCAGAGCAAGAACAATACAAGGATCGTCTTTCATATTGCCTCTTAGACATTAATGTCTTCCTGGGCCACAGTCCTTCCCTCGCTGTTCCACCCTACACCTAGCAGTTATGTTACTAAATGACAGAAACTTACAAAGAGCAGAGCACAGATTCCAAGGGCTTCACGTGTACCTAATTTTCTCCTACAAGCGCCCTGTCAAGATATCACTAAGTTACAGCTGAGAGAGATAGGTAGCTAATAAGTGCAGTGTTGGGATTCCAGAGTCGAGATTCTTGTGATAGCCTTCTTTCAAGATGCCGCCAATGAGTCTTGCTTCCTGGTATTCATGCCACTCTGTTGTCCCCCCCCACACTGAAAAGTGCTAACCCAGTAATCCACATCATATTGAGGGAATGGCACTGTGGGACTCCCAAAGCTACGTTAGAAAAACATGGTGGCTTCTACCTGGCACTCTCTCAGGCTATTTATGTGAGAGAAGCCAGCTGCCATGTCATGAGAATTCTCAAGTCCTGTGACAATGGCCTGAAGATGCCTGGCAGCAGTTTGATAAAGCATACGAGTGACCAATTTTAGAAGTGAATCCTCCAGTCTGTCAAACCTTCAGATGACTGTTCAAACAAAACAAAACACACACACACACTGCTGTGGAGATGATTCTGACTCATAACTGCAGCCCTCGCCAAAATCTGGACTGGAATCTCAAGAGAGACTCTGAACCAAACTGCCCAGCTAAGCCTCTCCACTGAAACTGAGAGAGACAGCAAACGACTGTTGGTCCTTTACACCCCTATGCTCTGAGGTAATATTTTTATACAGCAATAAATAATGAATACAATTTTTAACCAATAAGCTGTATTACTGTTGTTAAGTGATGTCAAGTTGGTTCAGATTCATAGGATCCTGTATTGCAGGGATAGGGAATGTCCAGCCCTTGAACCATACAAGGCCCTCACAATCATTTTATGTGACCCTGCCAAGGCCTTCACAATTCCAGCTGTCACATTTAGGGGTGAGTTAATTAAATTTTGGACGAAATATGGCAGGTTAATTTTTAAGTTGATAATTCTGTATGGTCTGTGAATGATGTTATAAATTCTGGCAGATCAAAAGTTTCCCCATCCCTGCTGCATAGAGTTTCCAAGGAGCTGCTGGTAGGTTTGAACTGCTGACCTTGTGATTGGCAGTCCAGTGCTGACCCTACAGAGCCAAACCAGAAGTCCATAAGCTATACTGCTTCATTCTAACTCAGCCCCATAAAGAAAGTACAAGCTTTATGAAGCCCTTTAGACTAATTTTTCATTGTAGTGGCTCGTATAATGCAGTTCATCACATTTTCATTCTCATCTCCCCACCAACCTTGTGGGAGGCATATACTTCCCCAGTCCATTGGTGTTGCGTTTGACCCTGTGACTCGCTCCAGCTAATTGGATTGGGGAGGCTGTGACGTTACACCACACCAGAGCATCTTTTTTGCGGCACTCCAAAGATCTACCTGCCCTCATCTATGAAAACAGCAGAGGGCGGCTGTTCCTTTAGCCAGGGTCCCAGAATGAGAAGGTAATGGACAGGCTTGAACTTGACCCCCAGCTTGGAACCAAGCCAAGCAGAGCCCAAGCAAAACTGCAGAAGATTCATAGACCCATGAGTGAGAGATGCATGTGTGTTGTAAGCTACAAGACTTAAGGCTGTTAGTTACTGCAATCAATGCTACCCGACACACTCACCATGTTGTATGATGCCATGTTCCATGAGTCGGTTGCAGAGCTGCTCCGCTTCCTTCCGGGTGGTGGCCTCACCTTCCTGCACGAGCCAATCCAAGAATTCAGATGCCATGAAGGTGCGCTCATACTTGACTCCTTCCTCCTCCCTGGGCTGCAGAAGAGTATTTTCAGGACTCATCAGCCTGAGGAGAAAGAAAGGGTCAAAAGAAAGAAAGAAATCAGTACAGAAAACAGTCTTCCCCAGGAAGAACAGAGCATGTTTGAAGCCCTACAGCTTAGGCTTCTGTGAAGTGTCCCAGCAAAGTTGGCAGACAGAGAAATGTGGTTGTCTTACACTTTTACAAATGGCACTTCCAAGAAGAGGGTCTATTGCAGAAGTCAACAGAACGTAATTTGTTTTTTCTGGAAAACTAGAAAAAAAATTGGAAATGCAATCCCAACTCTATCATCAGCCATCTTGAAACCAAATTACAATTCAGTCCACTCCACCAACTCCCGCCCTATTTTTCTGAAAAGGCTAGTATTCTTTTACTAAAGGTACCATTCCATTTCCCATGACACTATGCTAGTAAGTAGACTATGGAGATTACTCCTCTGCAATCTCCTTCCACCTACCTTCCCAAACATCCTCAACTCCTTAGGTTTCTGACCTCAACAAACCTCCAAAAGAGCTCCCACTGAGGCCAAGAGTAGTCTCCCTTGCATCCATTGTTTGACTCCTCATTTTGGTTGACTGTAATATCATTAGAGATTTTCCACCCTCTAGTTTCCACTCTGCTCAGCCAGAGGGACAACACACTGGACTCTTTCCCTCTGGACCTACTTCTCTTTAAGACATTTTTTTTTTTTTTTTGTCATTATTGTTTCTTCTCATTCTTTTGGATTTTAAATGCCAGGATTCCTTAAGATCCAATCCCCAAATTCCTTCTTTTCTCATTCTATAGTTCCTTAGTTGAATTCTCTCGTACCCTGGCTTCCATTGCCATTCAGGCGCCATAGATGCACAGATTTCTGTCCTCTGACCAGGCCTCTATTCCATGCAGCACCCTTACCCCTAGACCTCTGTACCCATATAGGCATCTTGAAGCTACCTCAAACTTAATAAACCAAAAATAAACTCATATTCTTTTCCCCAAACATGGTCCTGCTCCAGTGAATGCTTCCACCCACCCTAGGCCAGAAGATATCATTCTTGACACCTCTACCTTCCTCATCCTCCATCCAGCCTTTTGGTATGACCTGTGAATATTATCTCCCAAATCTCACTTATAGCTATCCAAGCCTTCCCATCTCAGGTACCAGCATGCCCCAATCTAAAATACCAACACCTTTAACCTAGATTACCACGATGACTTCTTAACAGGAGTATGCCAAGCATCCACTCTTGTCCTCAATCCAACCTCAAGTACCTAAACTCAGACCCAGCAATTAAAATGATATTCTAAATCATTTCAAGTCCTAGCCCTTTTGAAAATACACTTCAATGTCTTCTCATTGCTTTTAGGATAAAAATCAAAATCCTCAAAATGGTCCAGAATGTGTGCATGATCCAGGTTCCTATTTCCATTCAAACCATTTTCACCTCTTTCCTCTGTGTACTCCAGTCCTACTGTTCTTATACCACAGGGCCTTTGAATATGCTGTCTGCTCAGCTGAAATGCTTTCCCCATCTCTCCGTAAATCCTTCTGTTCAACTCCTTCCTCACTGCGTCTCAGTTCTTGTCACGTCTCTACTGATTGGCCATTGTACTGCTCCCTGTACATTTCCTTCAAATCATACATCAGTTTGTGTGATTATCAGATTAAAATCCCAGCTTCCCTACTTATAAGCAGCAAGAGGGTACAAAGTATATTTTTTCCATAAAATGTGGTTAAATGAAAAACTGGACCCCATAAACTGCCACTGTGTCTACTTCCTCTTTAAAACTATTCCTGATACGTTTCTGTCTTGCATATGAAAGTTTGGCCTGCTTGTGTAAAAACCTTCATTTCTTCTCATGCTAACTTTAATATGGAATATAAGTTGAATCATTAAATGCTAAGGAAGGAAGAAACCTTTGTAATCTAATTCCTTCAACATTCACAGAAGAGAATTCTAGTTTTCACTAAAATGAGAAACGTTGAATTGACAGTATTCAGCATACTGGTGAAGGAAATTGAGCAAGGTCATGCTAACAAGTACTTTGTATATGTTTATAAAGCAATTCATTGGAGAACTGATATTTACAGAGACACCTGTAAAATTGTCCATTCATATGGTGTTCATTTCCAATGCAATAGGACTTAGAGCCTAACTCTGCTGTGGAAAGAACACTGGTCTGAGAATTTGAAGATTGAAATTTATCCAAATGTTTCGCTTAGTAACTGTGAGATGCAAAGCAAGCCACTTTTCTTTTTTAAGCCTTGTTGTTCTCAAGAGGATAATGGTATTCTCACCCAGCAGCTGTGAGAATGAAATGTGTCAGAGAATCAGTGTTAAAACATAAAAGAAAATGTACATACAAAGTGTTACCACACTACTTGACTACTCATGGTGTCTACATCAGGGCATGATGAACTTGTGCCTGATGGCTATAAATGATGGGCTGCATTGGGCAAATCTGCTGCAAGTGACCTCTTGAAAGTGTTAAAAGAGCAAAGATGTCACTTTGAGTATTAAGGTGTGCCTGACCTGTGCCATGGTATTTTCAATTGCCTCATATGCATGTGAAAGCTGGATAATGAATAAGGAAGACAGAAGAAGAATTGATGTGCTCGAATTGTGGTGTTGGCAAAGAATAATGACAGAACCATGGACTGCCAGAAGAACGAAATCATTCTTGGACGAAGCACAGCCAAAATACTCCTTAGAAGTCAGGATGGCAAGACATCGTCTCACATACTTTGGACATACTGTCAGTAGAGTCCAGTCCCTGGAGAAAGACATCATGCTGGTAAGGATAAGTCAGCAAGAAAGAAGAAAGACCCATCAATGAGATGGACTGTCACAGTGGCTGCCAACAGTAGGCTCAAACTTAACAACAATTGTGAGGATGGTCCAAGACTGGGTAATGTTTCATTCTGTTGTACAAAGGGGTCACTATGAGTTGAAACCAAAACAGCACCTAACAACAACCACAAACTGATTAAAAATGAAGTCTCTACTTCCCTCCAATATTCCTAATAGAGTCTTCCAAGCTCTGCTTCTTCAAAGCCATAGTTTGGGAACAGAATGAGGAAGTAGGTGACTGATACAGACTAGCTCTGCAGTTTCTCACTGCTTCAGTATCTTCCATGAGGAAGAGAATACCTGTTCCACTTCCCTCGCTGGATTACTGTTACCCCCAAAACTTTTTGAAAATAAAAGTTTGAAAGTTGTAAGTGTATAACTGCATGCTGTTATTACTAAGACTATTCATAAAGCTATTCCACATGTAACGTAAAATCATTTTAAAAACTCAAAATAACATTAAGTTGACCTTTTCCCAAGTCATTTCCCTTCGGCGCCTTAATTCAGTCTTAGTAATAGCTTATAGGCTGCTTTCCAAGGGTCAGTAACAGCTGAGTGGGTACAAATATTAAAATAAAACTACTGCTGTCAAGTCCATTCTGACACAGAGACCCCATAGCATTAAAATTTCTATTTAATATAATATCGTTCAGTCCCTTCTTAGAAGGTGGAAAGGACAAAGAGTTCATGGGAAACTGGAATTAAAGAAAATTCAATGTTTCTGCAAACTTTTTGAAGCTTCCTCATACACACCAATGTAAGTACAGACCCAAAAAGATATTCAAGAGGAGATTATATTCAAAGATGGTTACAATCGTTCCTCCCAGGTTTCTTTGCATGTTAACACGACTCCACTGCTTCCTCTATCAGGAGGGTGTGTTAATTGCTACTTTCCTTGAATCTGAGATGGCTTTGAAACATGAATAATATGACTTACCCATCAGCTGCTCATTGGAAACTCTATCCAGGGTCGCTATGAATCAGCAGTGACTCAATCGCACTTAACAACAACAACAGCAAGGTTAGGCTTTAAGAAGTCTTGACCTGCTGCTGCCTTCTCTTAAAATGCTATCCTGAGACTGCAATGTAAGAAAAGAGGCCTAGCTGACTGGAGAAGAGACCACGTGGAGAAGAGATGAAGTGTCCAGGTGGCTGCTAGTACCAATGGTCAGACATGGCAGTGGGGCCATTTTGGACCTTCCAGTCCCACTGACCCTCTAACAACCATACGAGTGAGCCCAGGTGAAACCAGTAGAAGAGCTACCCATCAAACCCACACAAATGGGAGAAATAAAACTTCATTATAATTTTAAGATACTAAGTTTTAGGGGAATTGGTACAGCAGCAATACATAACTGGAACACATGCATATCAGTGGACAGTCGGGACAAACACATAGAAATCTCACACTTAGAGATTCTCACACAGCCTGGAAAGTACTGCAGGACTGATATAGTGACTCCTGGAAAGTTCTGGGGGAAAGTGGCATCAGGTCACATGGAACAAAACCTGGGAGCTGTACTGATGATGGGATTCTAGGAAGAACTGAAGGTGCCATGGACATACACAAAGAATAACACCATTTCTGTTCTTTTGACCTTCAAATAACAACTTTTGGGGTGAAAACAGAAAACCTTGCCTTCTCAGTTTTCTAGTCTTTGACATGACTTCCTCTAGGAAATCTCTGATTCCCACAAACCTGGACCCTGCCCCAGTCCTACAGCCTACCAGAGTTCCCTGTGAGTCCCATCTCGGAGCTCTCGAGAAATGGCAGGAAGGGTACAGAGCAAAGCCCTGTCTGCTCTATCTGACAGTTGGTCATAGTTGGTCCTCAAAAATTATTTGAATGAATAAATGAAACTGATTTCTATAAGATCCATCATTATCCAAGTGTATATTAAGACTTTGTGCAATGGTGAGATGCCTCTAGGGTATGCCTGCCCTTTTGATCTTCTCCATTTAAAATTCAGACAGATTCCTGGCATTTATCCCTGTTTCTAACCATGTTGTCCTTTCAGCTCAGCTATTTTTCTTTCAGGGTGTGGGAGGACAAGTGCACGAGGTTAATTTGTGTTACTTCTTGTAACCAGAACCCTGACTTGCCAGCTCTCAGGAGCTCCAGTGAAATAGCTGGTGGCCTGTGGACAAGTGGTTGGTAAGCTGCTTCTGCCAGTGTGTGCTTTAGAAAGCTGG